AGAAGAGAAGGTCAAATCCTTGACGATTCCAGAAAAACCCTTGTTTCTGCATGAAATTGATGCATTATTTAAATGAGGGTAACTTAAAACTCGTTTCCAAAATGAAGAAACACTGCTCAAGCGAGTGAAATGTATTTATAATTGAGATATGAAACCCCTGCCTCCCTTCCCTTTTTTTTTTTTTTTTTGGCCTGTGCAGGGAAAAAAAAATGCAGAATTGAATCTGAACATAGAATATTCAAGAAGTGCTGAATAGAGTACAAATCAGAAGAAATATGACAAAGATGATCCCACGTTTATCACATTCAATATTCACTGGCAACTATATTAAGCATTTCCCGTGTATTACCTCACTGACTCCTGACAGCTCTATGTGGTAAATTCTATTACCCCCATTTTACAGATGGAGAAAAAGAGGGGCAAAATGGTTAGGTGACATGATCAAGGTCACAGGAGGACCCAGGAAGTCTGGTTTCAATGTGGATCTTTATAAATCTCTGTGCTACCCTCTCTGTTACTATGCTTTACGGTTTTTTTTTTTTTTAATTTTTTTTTTAATGTTCATTTTCGAAGGAGACAGAGACAGAGTGTGAGTGGGGGAGGGGGATAGAGAGAGAGAGACACAGAATCCCAAGCAGACTCCAGGCTCCGAGCCGTCAGCAGGGGCCCGGGGTGTTCTTTGGGGAGAAGAGGCTGGAGAGGCAGGTGTGGCCTTGTCAGGAAGGGGTGTGAGTGACACATTTTGGCAAGACTGCTGTCCGTAGAGTGGAAGCTGTGTGGGGGGAGATGGTGAGTCGGGACAGCACGGGAGACGCACGGAGACGAACGGGGACATCTCATCCGGATGAACCACGGCGGCGATGGTGACTGGTGGGGGTGGGGCAGGATGTTTCAGGGCCTGACTCATAGCACCTGGTGGTGGACGTGAAGGAACAATCAAGAACGACTCCCAGGTTTCTGTCCCGAGCAAATGGATGAATAGCGAGACCACCACAAGAGGAAAAGAGAAACTAACAGGAGGGGCCGTGGGTTTTTAGCAGAGTTTTGCAGACATGCGCTGTGCTGGGGTTGCAAATGAGCACGTGCGTGCAGACAACTTTCCACTTCATTCTTTGCCCGGTGTCCGTGGAAAAAAGCAAAGGGGGATGAGTGGTAGGCGGGACTTGGGTACTCATGTTTCTCATAAGCTGTTCTACTTCATTCGTGTAGAATCATCGCAGATATTTATTTTAAGGCCATGTGGATCTTTATTTTAAGGCCAAAGCCTCCAGCTTTGGACAAGCTCTGCCCAATCCCAGATACTGATTCACATTAGTAAACGCCTCTACAAGCAAACCTGCCTCAGCACTTACTGATACTAACAATATCCTACAAGAAATTGCGATACGCAGTTATTCTAGGAAAACGTACTTTTAATTCTGTACCTACCACCCACTTTTCTTTCTAGAAGAAATCAGTCCTTTTTCTTTTTAAGGACAAGGAAAGGGGCTCCTGGGTGGCTCAGTTGCTTACGCATCCGCCTTCAGCTCAGGGCATGATCTTGAGGTCCATGAGTTCGAGCCCCACGCCGGGATTCTTTGCTGACCGCCCAGAGCCTGGAGCCTGCTTCTGATTCTGTGTCTCCCTCTCTCTCTGCCTCCCCCCGCGCCACTCATGCTCTGTCTCTCTCTCTCTCTCTCTCTGACTCTCAAAAATGAATAAATGTAAAAAAAAAAAAAAAAAAAAGAATAAGGAAAAATAGATGATTATCTACACCTGCTCCCCCAAACTCAGATGGGAATTAAGACACTTCAAATTCTGACAGTGATTAATCTCATTTATTCAATCTAAATTTGTTTCGTTTCCAATAGGTATTAGCCAGGTTTCCTACTTTTTTTGGGGGGGGGTGGCATCGTATTCTCCCATCTCTGTTTATCTCTGTATGTGTGTGTTTCTCTCTCTGCTCTTCTGTCTCATCTCTTTCTCCACATCTCTGCTGAACATTTTTTGAGGCACTCCTTTCCCTGAGCTGGTGTATATGTCTGATTTTGTCTTCTAAGTTTGTGTTTATCTGAATCACGTGGACGCTAAGTTTGTGTCTCTCTGACTCGCTTTCAGCTATAACAAAATATCGTGCTCCAATGGCTTGAGCCACAAACAAATATATTGCTTCACATAACAAGAAATCCAGGGGATGGTCCCTCTAGAACTGGTCAGGTCAGTGCCTTGACGGTCATTGGGGTTCCTTATTTGTTTTTTTTTTTTTTTCAACGTTTTATTTATTTTTGGGACAGAGAGAGACAGAGCATGAACGGGGGAGGGGCAGAGAGAGAGGGAGACACAGAATCGGAAACAGGCTCCGGGCTCTGAGCCATCAGCCCAGAGCCCGACGCGGGGCTCGAACTCACGGACCGCGAGATCATGACCTGAGCCGAAGTCGGACGCTTAACAGACTGCGCCACCCAGGCACCCCTAGGGTTCCTTATTTGATGAACATTCACTGCGTGCCTATTTGTGCCTGGCCTTGATTTAGGTACATGGAATATACACACGGACCAAAAAAGAAACAAAAGACATACATGGAATATACACGGACCAAAAAAGAAACAAAAGACTCCGTCTTCCTGGAGCTTCTATTCCGGCTCCTCCCAGCTTTGCCTCATGGTAGCAAAATGGTCCATGCCCTCCCAGGCATAACATTAGGTAGGAAAACACCCAATATTTATAGAGCTTCTCTTCCTATGCGTTTCTTTATCAGAAAGCATAAAGATTTCCCCCTTTTATCTCATTGGCCAACATGTCCTCACGTATTTCTCTCCAATCCAATTTCTGGCAAGAGGAATGTTATTTCCATAATTGGCTTAGACTATTCAGGATTTACCTCTTGGCTGAAGATTACGAAACACACTGATACCTGGCACCACTCGCTGTCCACTGGGGTCGGGCCCAGGAATAGCTTTTTTTTTTTTTTTTTTTTAATGTTTTATTTATTTTTAGGACAGAGAGAGACAGAGCATGAGTGGGGATGGGTCAGAGACAGGGCGGCAGACACAGAATCTGGAGCAGGCTCCAGGCTCTGAGCTGTGAGCATAGAGCCCGATGCACGGCTAGAACTCAGGAACCGTGAGATCATGACCTGAGCCGAAGTCAGACGCTCAACCGACTGAGCCACCCAGACGCCCCTAGATATTTTTTTTCAAAGCTCCTTGAGCCATTCTAGTTTACGGCTGGAGGTGAGGCTGGTTCTCAGGTGCTCTGCTTGAGATGCTTCAAGGCTGAGAAGGTTTGAGATTCCTTGTAGGGCTGTGTAATATCATTCCAGAACATGGGGTCTGCCTCAGAAGGAGAAGGTCGCAATCTTTTGGGGCCTCCAGACCACCCACGTTGGGTTTTTGTCAACACTGTTCCTTGGCCTTGGTGATGGGACCACGTTCCTAGTTGAGCTGCCCCTGCCCCACCCTAGGAAATCCCTAATTGGCCTTCTCTCAGCTTGGGACCCCCCAGCCCCTTCCTAGGTGCACCTGAGCCAAGTGCAACCCTCCCTCAGTCCAGTTTGGTTCTTTGATTTCTTCTTTTTTTAAATCCTCCAAATCACAAAGATGCATGTAGTTATCGCAACCACAGAAAGATATTTGTACAAAGACTTGAATAATCTCCCCCTTCCTGTCTCCATCCTCTGTCATGCCAGAGGACCGGGTATTCTCTGCCTATCGTCTCTCTCCAAAGCAGGGGACAGTAGACCCCCGGCCACCTTGTGGATGTCTGGGTGGGGGTGGAGCGGGGAGGAACAGACGACGGAGGGACTGGATAGGGAGTCAGCTGAAATCAAAGAAATGGGACACCTCCATTCTTCCCCCACCACCTTTTTTCTTCATTTCTTTAGTTTGAAATAATTTTAAACATCGAGAAAAGCTGTAGGATTAATACAAAGACCCCCCACAACGCCTTCACCCAGGAGTCCTTACGGTGTTGCCAATCATCCTAATTCTCTTTTTTTCAGCTTTACTGAGGTATCATTATATGGACCAGTAACACTGTAAGATACTTAAAGTGTATGTGGCCATGATTTGATACAGGTGCATACGATAACCCTTTGATAGACTTTATAGTAAAAAGAAAAAAAAAAAAAAAGACTTTCTAGTCAAAGCAGCCAACCCAGAACCACACGGGGAACCAGTGGTCACGTGACCTCCATCTCCTTCAGCCTAGGCCCCTTCCCCGCACTTCCTCTGACTGCACTTGGAGACTCTGGACCCGTCACTTTGAGGAATGTCTTCCTATGTAGCTTCTGCAACGTTTCCTCATGATTAGATTCGGGTTATGCACTTTGGGCAAGAATATCACAGAAGTGATGGTATGTTCCTATTGTATCCCATCAGGTAGCATGTGATATCAGTTTGCCCCACTGTTGGTCATGTTTACTTTGATCACTTGATTAATACGGTGTCTGTTACGGTTGTTCGCTGTAAAGGAGCTTTCTCCCCTTTGTAATTTTTTTTTTAACTTTTTTTTTTATTTATTTTTGAGACAGAGAGAGACAGCGCATGAACGGGGGAGGGGCAGAGAGAGAGAGGGAGACACAGAATCGGAAACAGGCTCCAGGCTCTGAGCCATCAGCCCAGAGCCCGACGCGGGGCTCGAACTCACGGACCACGAGATCGTGACCTGAGCGGAAGTCGGACGCTTAACCGACTGAGCCACCCAGGCGCCCCTCTCCCCTTTGTAATTAATGAGTAACTTGTAGGGGCGATCTTTTTAAATCATGTAAAATCCCATTCCTCATCTCATTTTTCCCCACCGGATTTAACACCCCATAATGTTTCTCACCTGAAATTATAGCTACGATGATTGTCACATGGCAGTTTTCTTGTAAACCTTGTTTTACATTTCTTCATTGGTATTGTGCGGTAAGAACCTTCTCTTCTCCCACTTGTTTGTTCATATCAGTTTAGACCTATGAACTTCTTTTATTTTTATTTTTTTTTAAGTTTATTTGGAGAAAGAGAAAGAGCAGGGGGACGGGGAGAGAGAGAATCCCAAGCAGGCTGTAGGCTCAGCACAGAACCCGGCGTGGGGCTCGAACTCACGACCATGAGATCGTGACCTAAGCCGATACTCCTGTAAGCGGGCTTCGGTGTCCTTTTAGTGTCTCTCTGTCATTCATTGAGAACTTCCATATTTTCTGACAAAACAACAAGTTCCAGGCTCGTCTTGTTCTTTATCTGCCCCAGCCGTGTCATCACCCATTTTCTCCAAGGAGCCTGTGTTCCTTTAGTGGAGAATGGTATTTAGAAACCAAGACCTGGGCTCTGGGTGCACGGATTGCTACTGGGGTGTCACTGCTCCTACGCTCTCTCAGTGGCTCAAACTAAGAAATAGATGCATGTGTGTATATGCATTGCTATTTACAGCTATCTACAGGCTGAAAGCAATGACTTCACACCATTACCTCCCATTCCAATCCAGCACCAGAGTTCATTCTAGTCCAGTCTAGCTCATTCTAGTCCCCCCACGCCACCCCTTGCATATTCGTACCTCCCTTCACCATCAGTGAGAAACTTCTCTCCCACTGGCTTCGATATATCAACTTATTTGCTCGATTTCCCTGTGTAGCCAATCTCCTGACCCCCAAAGGGCCAATCAAAAGCGTTCCTCATGAGGTCTCCGATCCCTGCTAACGGTTCTCCACACACTTCAACGTCTTCCCTATGGCTCCATTGCTACCCTGCTGCCTTCCTCCTCAATTGACCTTCCACACATGAAATACAGCTACCGTCTTCCTCTGGGAAACCCTCCATGGCCACGCCGTAAACACATAAAAACCGTAAGTCTTTATGCTTTCCTTTCAACATTTTCAGCTCCGTTCCTCAAGGATAGTCACCTGTGGCAGAGTGAGTTGTTTTGTTTTTGCCACATTCCCTGAACTGAGGGCTGAAAGATCTATTTTTTTAAAGTTAACCCCGGGTGCCTGGGTGGCTCAGTCGGTTGAGCGTCCGACTTCGCTCAGGTCACGATCTCACGGTCCGTGAGTTTGAGCCCCGCATCAGGCTCTGTGCTGACAGCTCAGAGCCTGGAGCCTGCTTCCGATTCTGTGTCTCCCTCTCTCTCTCTGGCCCTCCCCCCGTTCATGCTCTGTCTCTCTCTGTCTCAAAAATAAATAAATGTTAAAAAAATAATAAAGTTAATTATTTGCAGTCATGCAAGAATATTTGTTGGGTTCCTTGCTCTTAATTTTTTTTAAAGTTTTAGTTACTTAAGCAATCTCTACACCCCATGTGGGGCTCGCACTCATGACCCCGAGGTCAAGAGTCGTATGCTCTTCCAACCCAGCCAGCCAGGTGCCCCTTCCTGCTCTTCATTTTATTTATTTATTTATTTATTTTTAACGTTTATTTATTTTTGGGACAGAGAGAGACAGAGCATGAACGGGGGAGGGGCAGAGAGAGAGGGAGACGCAGAATCGGAAACAGGCTCCAGGCTCTGAGCCGTCAGCCCAGAGCCCGACGCGGGGCTCGAACTCCCGGACCGCGAGATCGTGACCTGGCTGAAGTCAGACGCTTAACAGACTGCGCCACCCAGGCGCCCCTCTGCTCTTCATTTTAAAAATAGACCATCAGCAGCACGCTATGGCCGCTTACTAAGAGCTAACTGAATGAGCTCTTGACAAGTCTGTTCAAAAATTAAGTTACTGCCTAACTTCTCATGGCCTTCAATGATCTTTTCTCCCAGTGGGTCTTTTCTCCCCTTGGAGACCTATCTATGGAAAAGGCTTTGTCTTTCATTTAAAGACAAAGATTCTACTAATTTGCTTCACTTATTCGTCTGTCCTCTCACTCACCAAGTATCTGTTGAGGGCCTGCCATGTGCGTCCGGCTGCCCGTGGTGATACGGGCTCCACTATGGGATCCCTGCCCTGGCTGTGTCTCTATTGCTCCCTGTTCTTCATCCTGCCCTGGCCTTTATTTACTGCTTGGCTGGTTCAGACTGCAAGGCTGTGTGAAGGGAGTGTGGGAGAAAGTAAAGGAAGTGGGTCCTGATGAGACAGCCAGCCCCCCAGAGAGGGAGGTTCCGAGCCACTTTCCCTTCCCCTTAGGCTGTCAGCTTCTCCCAGCCCATAGGGCAGCAAGTCACAATCCCGGGTGACCCAGCAAAAACAGAGGGTTTACCAGCGGGCTATCGCGACTCTGGCTTCTGGGGATCTTCTGGAGGGACAGGAGGGGCAGAAGGGGGGCACACCCCCCACCCCTACTCATGGCTGCTGAAACTGAGCTCAGAGCTGTCGCTCCCCACCCCCCCCCCCGACCCCTCTCTCCCCATTTTCCATTCCTGCCTCCAGTGAAGGTCTCTGCCTAGGGCCCAAAGCTGCAGCAGCTTCCTACTCTGCAGATCTTGAGACCCCGGAGCATGGCAGAGGCCGAGTTTGTTCGCACTGTGGGCTATGGGTTCTCACTGGGCAAGGGAAAGCCTGGGGCAGGGCGTGGGCTGCAGCTGCAAGTTACCTTGGGTGACTGAGATGCTATCTGGGCCTAACGGTTTCCTTTGGGTAGGCACTTCCGTCCTTCTGTTTTTTTTTTTTTTTTCAACGTTTATTTATTTTTGGGACAGAGAGAGACAGAGCATGAATGGGCGAGGGGCAGAGAGAGAGGGAGACACAGAATCGGAAACAGGCTCCAGGCTCTGAGCCATCAGCCCAGAGCCCGATGCGGGGCTCGAACTCACGGACCGCGAGATCGTGACCTGGCTGAAGTCGGACGCTTAACCGACTGCGCCACCCAGGCGCCCCCCGTCCTTCTGTTTTGAAGCCAGAAATCTGTGCTGGGGCAGTCCCCTCGGCTCCCTTTCTGAGCCGAAAGGAAGGGTGACAAGATGGAGGCAGAAACAGGCGCCATGAGTCAGGGTTAGAAGACATGGTAAGAAACTATGTTCCTATCACCAGCTCAGCCATGCTTCTTTAAAAGGAAGAAAGGAAGGGGCGCTGAGAGCGGCTCAGTCGTTAAGCGTCCGATTTCAGATCAGGTCATGATCTCATGGTTGATGAGTTCGAGCCCCGCATCAGGCTCTGGGCTGACCGCTCTAGAGCCTGGAGCCTGCTTCAGATTCTCTGTCTCCCTCTGTCTGCCCCTCTGCTGCTTGTATTCTGTCTCTCACATTGTCTGAAAAAATAAATAAACATTAAAAAAAAAATTTTTTTTTTAAAAGGAAGAAAGGAAAACAATCACAGCCACAAGTATGCATTGGAAGGTACCAGGAAATTTCCTTTCCTGCTGCCAGTCCTGCCCTAGAGTCCTCACATCTGTAGCTGTGTGGCTGAAATGAGGAGGGGACCCTTTCCTTGGGCCCCAGAATGCCCTGCTCTAAATAAAAGAAAGATCTGGTCCCTACCGATTGGAGCTTGTACACAAAGTGAAACATTGTAAAAATAGCTACTCTTCTCAGAGTGACTACTAAACTGTACAGATTGAGGAAACCGGGGATCAGAGAGGTCAAGTGACCTGTGCAAGGAAACTCAGCAAGAAAGTAGCAGAGCTAGAATACAACCCTCAATCTGTTTCTGAAATCAAGGTCTTTGCCCCCGTTGTCCCATTCAGTTTGATGAACTAGAAAATACTTTGGCATTCGGGCTGTTAGTGTTTTAGAAAGTCAGGCTTTAGAAGGTTCTATGATAGGAAGAAGGTCATGTTTCTAAGACCTTCTACCTTTGCTACCCAAAGCAGCAATCCAAGGGCCTGAAAGCCCCCGGGGTGGTGTTGGGATGAACAGCAGAGTCAGGGCAGCTCTCCCTAGTGTGAGCAAACTCTCAACTTGTTTCCTTTATGGGATTCTCTGTATATTTCCCTTCACAGGGCCCGCTGCCTCTGAAGAGGGCCCTCCCTGTCCCGGGTGCCCTGGGTGAGTGAGGCCTTGGGCATGGGGGCAGGACAGGAGGCCTCCCTCCCTGCCAGCCAATCTCCCCCCCCCCCATAATCCCTGCACCCATGTCCCCTCTTCTCTCTGTCCTGGGAGGAGGGATCCAGAAGGGGCACCTGGGGCCGGTGGCCAGTATACAAGCCGGTAGCAGATTCCAGGTCCCACATCCCTCCCGTGTGGCCTCCTCATCTTCCAGCCTCTTGGCTGCCCAGAGGGCTGGGACAGCGCTGGGGGAGGGCCGCTATGCTGGGTCTTCTGGGAATCGGATGTTCAGGATCTTGGCCTTTACTCTATTTAACAGGAACGGGAAAAGGCCCTTTAGCAAGCAGCTTGTGGGAGCTGAAATTCCCACAGAATCCAATGCATCAGTCTAATCAGGGGAAAAGAAAAAGATTTCACGCCACAGGGAACCTGAAAATCTCTGCTTGGATTTCTTGTCCTTCCTCCCCAACCCGCCCCCCCCCCCGCCCCCCATACACAGATGAGAGACGGATAGATTGATAGCGGTTTCCTGAAAATGTGACCGTGCACGTGGTAAAGAAAGGCGATGAAAGTAGGAAAGGTGGTCCTGTCGGTGCCGCACTGCGCGTTGCCACAGCTCCCGTCTGGGGCCATGAGAGAGCACAGACGCCTCCACAGTCCTCTCGCTCCCACGCCAGAACGCCTGGAAACCCAGGTATGACATGAATGCAATAATTAAAAAAAAAAAAAAAGGGACGAAAGCAACAAGGATGCACGTAAAAGAAACAGAAAAGAGGGGAGAGGAAAGGAAGAGAAGAACAACTTTAACGTGAAAGGAGGGCGAGGCTGAAAAGGGCTGGGACCCGGGCAGAGGCCGGGGTCCGGCGGAAACTTCGCGAGGAAGAGGGGCCAGGCGGTTGTCCCGTCCCCATGTTTGGGCAGATTAATGGAGTCGCGGCTCCCTCGCCCGAGTCCTGCCCTGGGAGGGGACAGTATCTGTTTAGATTTGCGTCTAAATTTAAACCCTGATCGCCGGCCTCCCTCCCCCGCTCCCCACCCCTTCCCCCCTCCC